CAATGCATTTGGCAACCCAGCCAGGTCAGTGTTCTCAGCTGAGCTGTTCTTGCCAGCATTGCAGAGCTGAGGGCCCTGGGTATAAAGCCTTCCAGGACACTAAGTCAAAAAAAAAATAAAATCCTTTGTTTTTGCTTTTGTTAAATTTAAAAAGTAAATGTAGTATAACCACATCAAAGGAAAATTTTACATAAGAGAAAGTAAAAAATCTTCCTGTAATCCCAGTCCTGATCCAATCAGCTTTTTTGGGTACTTCTACTCTTTCTGTTTTCCTTCGGATTTAGTATTTCTGTAATCAGTACATAAAAACTTGCCTCTTCATTACTTTTTTTTACGGAGCATTATAATAGGCATAAGATTGCTATATCATCTTTCCACCGATTTTTTAATGACTGGAGAGTATCTCCTCAAGGCAATGTTAACAAATTAACATTCTTCTGTTTTTGGAGAATGATGCACTAGTAAAATGACACTGTAACAAACATCACTGGACTATAACAGGTTTTACTGGGTCAGAATTTTTTTATCTTTTTTTTTTTTTTGGTTTGGTTTTGCATTTTAGTGATGCTACCTTTATTTTCTTATTTATTTTCCAAAACGGAGACTCCAACTAGATGTATTGCCTCCAGACATGTGCAAGACTGCACTTTTCAGTTAAGGTGATTTTTCCTTCCAATATTTTATTATGAAAATTTTCAGGCCAGGCACGGTGGCTCATGCCAGTAATCCCAGGCCTCCCTTTGGGAGGCCGAGGCAGGCAGATCATGAGGTCAGGAGATCGAGACCATCCTGGCCAACATGGTGAAACTCTGTCTCTACTTTAAAAAAAAAAATACAAAAATATTAGCTGGGAGTGGTGGCGGGCACCTGTAGTCCCAGCTACTCGGGAGGCTGAGGCAGGAGAATGGTGTGAACCTGGGAGGCAGAACTTGCAGTGAGCCGATATCACATTTCAAACACACAGAGCAGCTGACAGGATTTTATAATGCACACTCATATAATAATTCAGGATGACTTTGGAGCTCAAACATATGGTTGAAATGAGGACCAGAAAACTAGTAGAGAAATGTGTGTCATCCCTGCCTCTGTGAACAGTTTCAAAGAAATTTTTTTAAAAGTGTGTCATTTTTCAGCTTGGGCGTCTTAGACATAATAAACATGGTAATTTATTATTATAATATGTTATAGCTTTCAGTATTTTTCAAAATGTCTTCAGGTCTATTTTCTTGCTTGATCCTCATCTTCAAGTTATAGACAAGGCAGGTGTTATCAGATATTATTTGTATATTTATAGGTGATGAAACAATGATCAGGGATGTTAAGGGGCCTGTGTAAGTTTACACAGCAACAGAAGTAGCACTGCAATAACCGTGGGGAGCTCTCAGCTGACCCACACTTTTACAGAAATATCTCCCCTTTTCCTCTCACCTTAACAAAGCCAACTGTCCTGTGAGAAAACCTCAACCTGCATCATCACATCCCCACTTATTGTGGGTTTTCTTTTATTTACTTTTCTTTTTCTGACAGAGCCTTGCTCTGTTGCCCAGGCTGGAGTGCAGTGGTGTGATCTCAGCTCACTGCAACTTCCACCTCCAGGGTTCAAGCAATTCTCCTGCCCCAGCCTCCCAAGTGGCTGAGATTACACATGCCACCACACCTGGCTAATTTTTGTATTTTTAGTAGAGACGGGGTTTTACCATGTTGGCCAGGCTGGTCTCAAACTCCTGACCTCAAGTGACCCGTCCGCCTTGGCCTCCCGAAGTGTTGGGATTACGGGTGTGAGCCACTGTGCCCAGCCTATTGCAGGTTTTCTAGAGCCCTTTCAGCTCTCTGATTCTGTGTGTCTGTGACTTTGAACCTTTTCAGGACAGGAGGGTAGGAGATGTGTCATGGGTAGCCGGTACCACACATGCCAATGTCAGGGTGAATGACCGGCCACAAAGGGCGATCAAGAGCTCAACCCAATTTCAACACTTTTCTAAAGACACAATTTAACTGAAAAAGTAGGACTAATTTGAACAACAATTAGGCACAACAAGTAAGTGTAAGCATGTGTTGGGCTGTTTTTCTGGAAAGAAGAAGCAGGGAGAATATAAATTATGTCTGACTGGCAATTCTGGAGGACAAGGGGTTTACCCTGGAAAAGTAACCCCCAACACCACCTTCCCCAAGTCTCGTGTCTGGGACTACCAAAGGCTCAAGGTGTTGCTCATGGCTCAAATGTGAATTTTCATTGTTAATAGTGGTTTCTCTAGAATAGCTCAATGCTCAAAATAAAAATTTCTCTTCTTGGGGAGGCAGGTTTCAATGCGCAGGATCACAACAGAAGTAGGGCTGGGTGCTCGCATCTGACAGGGAAAAGTGCCCTGGGATTTGAGGCAAAAAATCTTTCCCGAATTCCACAGGCTGTGCTTCCCCAACTTCCTTTTTCTTCCCTCTCTCCCTCCCTCCCTCCCTCCCTTCCTTCCTTCCTTCCCTCCCACCCTCCCTCCCTCCCTTTCTTCTTCATTTATTTTTCTTTCTTTCTTTCTCTCTCTCTTTCCCCTTCACCCACTGTGCTCTTTCTCCCCCTCTTTTTCTAGAAACACAGCCTGGCTCTTTGCCCTGGCTGGAGTGCAGTGGCACAGCCATAGTTCACTGTAGCTTCAATCTCCTGCACACAAGTGATCCTCCCCTCAGCCTCCTGAGTAGCTGTGACTACAGGAGTGTCCCACCTCTCCCACGTTTATATTTTGTAGTGAATGTGGTCTCACTATGTTACCCAGGCTGGTCTCAAACTCCTGGGCTCAAGCAATCCTCTTGCCTTGGCTTCTCAAAGTGCTGAGATTACAGGTGTGAGCCACTGTGCCTGGCCCCAAATTCCTTTTTCTTTGTTTCTCCATAGGAACAAGTAAATTGCCTTCATCCTTGTTCTCATAACACGTTGAACATATGCTGAAAATCCACAGCCCCCAGAGACATTGTCATTCCATTTTATGGATGAAGAAATTGAACCTCTAAGTAAGATAATGGGAACTCATCCAGAAGAGATCTGGTCAGGGCTGGAGCCCACTCTTCTCCACTCTCAAACCCTTTCTTTACCCAGCTGTGGTTCCCACCTTGGCTACAAGGAGAGGCTGTGCTTATGCAATCTGGCACTCCTCCAGCACGGTTTTATTTTGGACTCTGGGGCCACTCTTGTTCTGCGTGCACAAAGCGGTCCTGGTTACAGCAATCTTTCGCTGGCATGGAAACACAAACCAAATCCTAGAGTCCGATCACGGGGATCCACCTGCCTCAGGGGCTCACGGAGGAGGCTGCACTCAAGGGTACAAGGCTTCCGAGATGCCTTCTATAACAGGACAGCTTTTGCTGCAGAAAGATGCCCTCTGTCCTCTGCGTGTGCCACAGTAGCCAACCTTAGGACTTTTTCTTCCTTCCTCCTTCTTTGGTTTACTTTTTTGTTGTTATTGAGAGACAGGGTCTTGCTCTGTCACCCAGGTTGGAGTGCAGTGATGCAATCAGAGCCCACTGCAGCCTCCACATCCCAGGCTCAAGTGATCCTCCCAGCCCAGCCTCCTGAGTTCCACCATACCTGGCTAGTTTTTAAATTTATTGTCGAGATGAGGTCTCTCTATGTTGCCTAGGCTGGTCTTAAACTCCTGGCTTCAAGTGATCCTCCTGCCTCAGCCTCCCAAATAGCTGGGATTAGAGGGGTGAGCCACTGTACCCAGCCTGTTCCTTTCTATTCTTCAGTCTCCAGAATTGCAGTTGTTCAACGTGAAGAATAAAGAGTGAGTGCTGGAAAACCATTGGAAGTACCTTTATGATGAGGCCATCTGCTTGTATCTGCCCTTTGGAAAAATCAATGATTTTGATTTTTGGACAGTCACTTAAACCTGAAAATATTCATTAGAACACCATAGGCGAACGAAGTCCACCCTTCCAGCCCTCATCGATTTCTCTGAAGTTGCTTAGATAACACAATTTCCCCAAACAGATTCGGGGAAGGTGACCCAGAGAACAGCACCCAGGGCCTTATGCAGCCAGCAGTGCATGGCTGCAAGAGAGATAGCTATTCTAAGCAGAGGCTTTTTTTTTTTTAAGACAACAAGACTCTTCCCAGAAATAAATATAAATCCTATAATGACACCCATTAGGCTGGTGGAAATTCAGTAGAGACATTTTCATCATTTGGAACTTCATAACTTGTGGCTTAATATATTGCCCCAAGATAAATTATGGAAAAGCTCCATGTATGGGATTGGTTATAGAATCCACTACCAAGCTGTTTTTCTCCTGGGGCTGGTGGGCTAAGAACCATAGCCGAGTCTCACAGATTAGAGAGCTCCCAGGGAGCAAACCTGGAATGTTGGAGGCCCGAGAGAACTTGTAGGCCTACAAAAGTCCAGTGCCTCCCCAGAGAGTTGGGTGCAATTTTCCTCCTTGTTGGGAAGATCCCGGGCTCCTTGAGTGCCAGTCTAGCTATTTTTGCACTGACTAGCTAAGCTCTTCCCGTCAACCAATAGCGTCAACTTAATTTTCATCATGTCATTGTTTCCGTAGCCCAGACATGCCAATGGGACATCAAAATTATTTTGATAAGAACTTTACTTCATCACTTAGGATTACAGCAAATTACACAATCACTTTCCTTTCCCCAAGGAATCTCTGGCAGAAGAGAATAAAACCATGTAATCCAAGGCAAGGGGGAAAGGAACTAAATTTTATTGCATTTCTCCTAAATCCAGGTGCTTTACATAGATTATCTCAGATAAGTTAATCCTAGGCAACAACCCTATGAGGATTGTCATTTAACAGACAAAGAAAGGGAGATTTAGGGAGGTTGGGAAGGTTACCCAAGACCTCAAGACCAGAGCTGAAAAGCAGGCAGATGTGGGGCCAAAGTCCAGAATGTTTTCATTGACAAAGCACCAGCTAAAACACAGAATGCCAATGACTCTTAGACTCATTTCCCGGCCTCGGGCTGAGCAGGGGAGAGAGGGATCTTTAGGAGTGAGTGTTTCAGGGCTGGGGAGAGGTCGGCACCGGAGGGCTGGGGAACCCTGAATGGCCAGTGTCCTTTCTCCAGAATGCAGTTATCCCTTGTTCAGTGGGAAACGAGTCTACCGGTGGGTACAACACGAGATGATATTTCCACCCCCATTGGTGACAGCCCTCACCTAGCTATCAAGGTATGCAGCGTTGACTTTTCACCTTCTGCCTGCTCCAGGGAAGGGCCAGATGGCATTCAGGCTGATTCTGTGCTTCTGGCTGACTAATCTCTCCAGGTACAAGAGTAAACATGGAACTTGGGGACACCATATGTCCCTGACTCATAGAGCTTGCAGGAATCACCGTCATTCTACGTGGCATCTGCTTTCCTGGGCCGAGGCGGGAGGTGGGTCAATGTAGTGGAGGAAACATGTTTTAAAGTACAAGGCAGAGTGATCCGAAACACAAAGAGAAGTGTGCACCTGGTAGTTATATCCTAAATGACTTTTATTTTCCAAATGTGCTTTGTTTTGCTAGACAGTGTTAGACTTCCTTCACTCCTTCCAGGGGCCAGCATGGGGCTGGCCACTGTCCACCCTCAGGGGTTGTGAACTGAATTGAGGGGTTGCGTTCTTCATCCATTTTCTTTGCTGAGCTGTCTTGAATTTTATCCTAAGTTCAAGATGAAGCAGACCATAGCAGAGTTTAAAGCTGATCTGATTGACATTGGGAAGTGGCATCTCAGATGCCTGTTTCTTCCACCAGCTCCGGGGCTCGCCAAAAGGAGAACTGAAAGCTGACGGTGAGGTGAGGGTGTAGGGTCAACTGCTTGGGGCTGGGATCAATGGCAAACTCTGAGGGTGGGCACTGAGTGCTCATTAGGAGGACATGGTTCATGAAGCTTCTAGTACCAGTTCCTGAGTCAACCAGAGTAACGAGAGGATGGAGTAGCCAAGTCCGGATTCTTAAGTGTAGGATCAGAGATGTATTGAGCTGGAAGAGTTAAACCTGCCCAATTCATTCCTTTCTCAGATGCAGTAAGTGAAGTACAGAGGGGTGATATAACCCACCTAGGACTGCACACTTATGGGAGGTCCAAGTGGAACTAGAGACCAGGGCTTCTCCAAGATCCAAGGCTTTTCTAGAAAGAAAGACTCCACTGAGCCCTCTAGCATTTCTGAGTCACTCTGAGCCACATGCCATGGGACCCCAGGAGTGAACAGCCTGCATTTCATAGGGTTAGGGTCATCACCTGCACTTTGCAACCAGAAAGTTAGGAAGGTTAAGGATGACCTGGGTCTGAGAAAACAGTGAAAGGCATTCTAAACCAAATCTTCTCCACTGTCAAGAGCCTTATGGCAGCTGTGGCAGTTTCTCATTTCTTATCCCATCCGACCTTGACAAATTTGTGAGATGGGTCTTGTCCACCATTGCACAGATAAGGAAGTTGAGATCCTGGAAGGTCAAATGACCCATCCCAGGGCACACTGTCAACTGCATGGAGAGGACATTAGAACTTATCCCAGAGCCTCAGATACTTCCAAAGCTCTACGCATGCATAGTCTTGATATTGTTCTTACACTGATGGGCTCATAAATATAGAAGACAGACTGACAATTTATGCATTTGCTTAAAATAATTTGAAACTTCCTATCCTAGAGCACCAGCTGATGGGTGGGACTAGACAGAAATGGCCCAAAGGAAAATACAGGAGTGCTTACTTCCACTGTATACTCCATTTCCAAACCCCCGATAGCACTGGCCCCTGCCATGAAGGACATAAGATCTTCTCAACTTTCTTTATCTTTTGGTTTTTGTTTTCATAATCAAGTCTCTGGAACTTTTCTTCTAAAGCAAAAATTCCAACTCCAGTTCAAGAATGTTTCTAGGCCAGGCGCAGTGGCTCACGTCTGTAATCCCAGCACTTTGAGATGCTGAAGCGGGCAGATCGCCTGAGGTCAGGAGTTCGAAACCAGCCTGGCCAACATGGCAAAACCCCATCTCTACTAAAAATACAAAAATTAGCCAAGTGTAGTGGCACACGCCTGTAATCCCAGCTACTTGGGAGGCTGAGGCAGGAGAATCACTTGAACCCAGGAGATGGAGGTTGCAGTGAGTGGAGATGGTGCCATGGCACTCTAGCCTTGGCAACAGAGCCTGGAAAAAAAAAAAAGATTATAAGAATGTTTCCAACGCTAGTCCGTGAATGATTTTTTTTTTTTTTTTTTTTTTTTTTTTTGAGGCAGAGTCTCACTGTTGCTGAGGATAGAGTGCTCCAGGGTGTAAATGATCCTCCCACCTCAGCCTCACAAGTAGCTGGGACCAGAGGCACATGCCACTACATCTGGCTAATTTTTAAAATCTCTCTTTTTTTTTTTTTGTAGAGATGGGGTCTCCCTACGTTGCCAGGCTGGCCTTGAACCCATGGGCTCAAGCGATCCTCCTGCCTTGTCTTCTCAAAGTGCTGGGATTACAGGTGTGAGTCACCCCACCCAGCCTATGACAGAATTTATTCTTTACTTGTGAGAAAGCTGCACTCTACCTGTTTAATAGAGTGGGGTTGCTTTTTTTTTCCCCCCGCTGAAACGTAGTTTTGCTCTTCTTGCCCAGGCTGGAGTGTAACAGCGCAATCTCGGCTCACCGCAACCTCCCTCTGCCTCCTGGGTTCAAGCAATTCTCCTGCCTCAGCCTCCTAAGTAGCTAGGATTACAGGCGCCTGCCACCACAATTGGCTAATTTTTGCACTTTTAGTAGAGACAGGGTTTCACCATGTTGGACAGGCTCGTCTCAAACTTCCGACCTCAGGTGATCCGCCTGCTTCGGCCTCCCAAAGTGCTGGGAATACAGGCATAAGCCACCAAGCCCAGCTGATTTTATTTCTTAAAGGCAACCCCAGCCGGGCGTAGTGGCTCACGCCTTTAATCCCAGCACTTTGGGAGGCCAAGGCGGGCGGATCACCCTTGGTCAGAGTTTGAGACCAGCCTGGCCAACATAGTGAAACCCCGTCTCTACTAAAAATACAAAAATTAGTCGGGTGTGGTGGCAGACGCCTGTAATCCCAGCTACTCAGGAGGCTGAGGCAGGAGAATCGCTTGAACCCAGGAGGCAGAGGTTGCAATGAGCCAAGATCACGCCATTGCACTCCAGCCTGGGCAACAAGAGCGAGACTTTGTCTCAAAAAATAAATAAATAAATAAATAAATAAATAAATAAATAAATAAATAAATAAAATCTTCCCTCTCAGAAAAGGTAGAAGTAACATTCCATGGTTTCTTGCCCATCAGAGCGAAATTTTACTGAGGGAGGAGTTGGTCCAGAAGTTCAGTTCAGCCTCAATGAGGTCACTGCTGCTGGGGAGAGGCAGAGGAGTACATACTAGTTAACTGTTGCAAATGGAGATGTCTTCACAGCAAGGGATATTTAGAAAAGAAATTATTTTGAAAAGCTTATGCTAACCTCAGCCAAACATGCTAGTGTCCCAGAATTATGGCCTCCTGCTTGACTTCTCACTGGAATGTCATATGTGAATTCTCTTCTGCTTGCATCAGCATCTCCGCGTGCAGATTCATCTCAAAGGTCTCTTCAGCCGATGTCCTCAGTGCCCCTGACACAGCCCCTTGGCACTTGCCTTACACACACATGCCTCTGCACCAGCTTTCTCCTGGCAGCACCTTCCTTTCCGCCGGAGGCTTTCCCAGGCCTCCTGCCTCCCAGAAAGTCAGAAGTCAGCGCCTCCCTGAGAGCCGGTGAGGGTTCCGTCTCCCCTAGGCAAGTGGTGCTGATGCCTGTTCCCTGCATCCATCTCTGAGAAGCCACAGCAGAACTGAGCTCCAGCGGCCACTGCAGTAATCTCCACAGTCTCGTGGGGGCACCTGCCCTTCTTTGCCCTGCTTTCCCTCTTCCTAGCAGTGTTTCAAACAAACTCCTTATAAGGGAATCTTTCTTTCAGGGTCATCATCTGGGGGGATTCAAACTAAGATACCTCAGATTCAGTATTCTTGAAGCATGTGCCTCTCCCTCCTGTTTTCCCATCTCAGTTAATGACAGCACCCCGGACAGCTTCCAAACCAGAAATGAGAGAGATTATGTTTTGCATTCTTTCTTCTGTATTTGAAAGCCCTTCTTTCAAGTGGACATCAATTTCTAAGAATTACTCCTAAAAAATCTCTTTGATTAGTACTTCTCTCACTCCCAGTTCTCTCGAGCTAAAGCTCAACAAAACCTTGGACAACTGTAATAGTTTCCTAACTCCTCTACATATTTTGAATGTATCCTCTCTCCAGTCTATTCCTCATAGAGCAACATGACTTATCCTTGGAAAACACAACTTTGATCACCTATTGCCTTGCCCGAAACCTTCTGATAGCTCACCCCTCCCTCCAGGAGAAGGCTCAACCTCCCTAGTTGTGCACAGATCCTTATGAGCAGGTCCTGCTTTAAGTCTCTCCAGGCTGGACCTTCACCCACTGGCAACCCACCACCCACCTTCTACTTGCAAGTCCCCAAAACGATAGTCTACCTTTGTCAACACTGGGCTTTGCACATGAACATACTATTCCTTGAGCTTAGAATGTCTTTTCACTTCTTTTTTTTTTTTTTTAATCTGATGAATTTGTAACATCCCCAAATTACCTAATTGAAACATCCCTTGCCTGCCCCCCATAGCCAAGTTAGAGGGATCTCCCCTGTGCACAGGTGCTATCATATCGGGTGCAGCATATTCTCACTCATATCGGGTGCAGCATATTCTCACTCATGTGTCTTTGCCACGTTGCTGTGAACTCCTTCGGTGCAGGAAGCATTTCTTACTGTATGGATTTCTGTAGTTCCTGCATAAATGTTGGTTGGCACAAAAAGTGGATACCCAATAGTTACATCCTTCCAGATCCTTAGGCCAAAAGCTGGAGTCATCCAGACCCTTGTTTTCCTTTACACCTCACACGTTCAGTCCATCAAGACATCTGCTAGCTCTGTCTCAAAAGTCCATCTAGGGCTGGGTGCGGTGGCTCATGCCTGTAATCCCAGCACTTTGGGAAGCCGAGGCGGGTGGATCATGAGGTCAGGAATTCAAGACCAGCCTGGCCAAGATGGTGAAACTCCGTCTCTACTAAAAATACAAAAAAATTAGCCGGGCGTGGTGGCATGCGCCTGTAATCCCAGCTACTCCGGAGGCTGAGGCAGAGAATTGCTTAAGCCTGGAGGGGCGAAGGTTGCAGTGAGCTGAGATTGCACCACTGCGCTCCGGCTTGGGCAACAGAGGGAGACTCTGTCTCAAAAAAAAAAAAAAAAGTCCATCTAGAATCCTGCCACTTTCAACTACCACATGTTACCAATGGGATCCACGCCCATCTCATGCCTAGATTATTACAGGAGCCTCCTGACGCTTCCTTCGTTTTCACCCTCACCAACCTATACTCTATTTTCTTTCTTTCTTTTTTTTTTTTCCTTTGAGATGGAGTCTTGCTCTGTCGCCAGGCTGGAGTGCAGTGGTACGATCTTGGCTCACTGCAACCTCCGCCTCCCTGGTTCAAGCAATTCCTCTGCCTCAGCCTCCCAAGTAGCTGGGACTACAGGCATGCACCACCATGCCTGGCTAATTTTTTTGTATTTTAGTAGAGACGGGGTTTCACCATGTTGGCCAGGATGGTCTTGATCTCCTTACCTCGTGATCTGCCCGCCCGGGCCTCCCAAAGTGCTGGGATTACAGGCATGAGCCACCACGCCCAGCCCCTATACTCTATTTTCAACAAAGCAGGCAGTCATCTTTTAGAAATGTAAGGTGGTTTGAGCCACGCCCCACCTCAGCACTCCCAATGTCATCTCCATTTCACTGGGATCCAGTAATACTTCCTGTGTCTTCATCCTACTCCCCGACTGAGATCATCTACCAGCCTCTCCCCTGCCCCTCAGCTTCATCCCCAGCCTCCGACTCACCTAGAATGCTCTCCCCTCGGCCTCAGCATGCTTAACACCTCATTTGCTCCATGCCTGTGCTCCAATGCCACTTTCTTAATGAAAACCAAATCTACAGTTGGAATCACCTGCCCACACCTCCCTCACTCCCCGCTTTTTATTTTTCCATAGCACTCATTGGCTTTGAGCATACTCTAAAATTCACTTATTTCCTACTTTTTTTTCTCACTGGCTGCCTCTGTGCATGTGAAGACAAGCCTCCCATTTGCTGGAAACTGTCAAGTGCTGGGAACAGTCTGACAACACAAAAGGTGCTGGGTAGCTTTACCACGGGACAAATGGAAGAATGGGTACAACTTCGTTGACTGTAGAGTCACCGTATGTGTCTGAGAATGATTTGCAGCTGGGCATGGTGGCTCATGCCTGTAATCCCAGTACTTTGGGAGGCCGAGGCCCACAGATCACTTGAGATCAGGAGTTCAAGATCAGCCTGGCCAACATGGCAAAACCCTGTCTCTACTAAAAATACAAAAATGAGCCAGGTGTGGTGGCAGGTGCCTGTAATCCCAGCTACTGGGGAGGCTGAGGCAGGAGAATTAATTGAACTTGGGCGGTGGAGGTTGCAGTGAGCTGAGATGCTACCGCTGCATTCCAGCCTGGGAAACACAGCGAGACTCAGTCTCAAAAATAATAATAAAAAAAAGAATGGTTTACAAAAGATATGCCTCAGAAACATGGCTCGGAAATGTGGCATTTTGTTAAACTCCTGGTTAAGATCGCCTTTCCATTGCACAAATAATATTTGACAAGTATAGAGTGATTTATATAGCCAAAGTCTAGAAATATAATTAATATTAAAAAATGACAAAGGTGAAATTTATTTTAATAATATTTTATTTAACCTAATAATTCCAAAAATTATGTCAGTGTGTAATCAATATAAAACTATCAATGACCTATTTTACATTATGTTATATGTTAAGTCATCACAATATAGGGTGTATTTTACACTAAATGGCACGTCTCAGTTTGGACCAAACACCTTCCAACTGCTCATTAGCCATTTGTGCTACTATATTGGACAGCACCAATCAAAGCAATTCCCATTTTAGGAAAAAGTCTTGGGTGGAAGATTGGCTTTGTTTGCTTGTCTTTGTAATAAATGAGTTATTGGAAATATATCCTAAATTCTAGTGCTTTAAATGAGCTACATTTTAGGTTAGCCAATATAAATTTCATTAATGACTCCTAAATCTGACTGCTAAATCTCAGTCACATCTAAGCATTGTTGTAAGCTTGATGTCTACTGGATATATCACCAGAGTCCAGCCTGCTGTAGGGCTGAGTTAGGAGAGCTGAGGCTACTTCATTATTTTTGCACAAAAAAGCAGCTACCTATGTCAGACACCCTGTTCCCCAGGCACCATGATTTTTGAAGTTGAGAAGTGATATGAGGGGAAGCCATTCCCTGATGACTCTTCCCTCCCACCCACTTGTGGATGTGCATCGATTAAGGGCTGCTGGTGTGAACCTAGAGAAAATTGCCTGATAGCCTTGGGTCAAGCAATTTCCATATTTACATCTCATTGACACATTGTGAGCAACACAGCTGAACTGTGAACTGTGAGAGGTTATGTGTTATCGGTAGCTTTAAGAACTTGATACATTGATTACTTAAAACTTTTTTTTTTTTTTTTTTTTTTTCCCAGAGAAGCATTTATGGAGCTCGTGGCGTGAGGTATCTCCTTCATCCCTTCAGTAAGTCAGTGTGGGCCAAGGAGTCTGAGGATCAGAGGCCTTGTGACTTTTTAAGTGAAGATTTACTAAGTGCTAGGGCCCATTGTGTTTTATTTTATTGACGCATCCCAAGCTCTAAGAGGGAGAGACCTTTATTGTCCCAGTTTCACTGACATGGTTTGGGAAGGTTAAAACATGATGAAAGGAAATAGACTGAAATGATACAGTAATACGTAATTGAGCATTTTCGCCAACATTTTTACGTGTTTTAAAATGTCATTTTCTGGCCAGGGGTGGTGGTTCACACCTGTAACTCCAGCACTTTGGGAAGCTGAGGCTGGTGGATCACTTGAGGCCAGGAGTTTGTGACCAGCCTGGCCAACACAGTGAAACCATGTTTCTACTAAAAATATAAAAAAATAGCTTGGTGTAGCCATGCGCACCTGTACTATTAGGTACTTGGAAGGCCGAGGCATGAGACTGACTTGAAACCGGGAGGCAGCGGTTGCAGTGAACCAAGATTGCGCCACTGCACTACAGCCTGGGTGACAGAGTGAGATTCTGTCTCAAAAAAAAAAAAAAAAAAAAAAAGTAAATAAAAATAAAATGGTATTTTCTTTCTTTTTTAAAAATATCTTTTATTATTATTTTAGATTCAAGAAGCACATGTGCAGGGTTGTTACACAGATATATTGCATAATGGTAAGTTTTGGGCTTCTAGTGAATCTTTCACTCAAATAGTGACCATTGTATCCGACAGATAAATTTTCAGTTTTCACCTTCCTTCTGCTCTCCCGGCTTTTGGGTCCCCAGTGTCTATTTTTTCCATCTCTGTGTCCATGTGGACGCATTGTTTAGCTCCCACTTACAAGTGAGGACATGCAGTATTTGATTTCCTGTTTCTGAGTTATTTAACTTAGAATAATGGTCTCTAGCTCCATTCATGCTGCAAAAAAGGCACGATTTCATTCTTAAAATGGCACTTTATGAGGTTCGCTTTTCCTGGCAAGAGGAACTAACAAAATGGAGATGTCGGATTCTTTTATTAAACCCAAACGTGGTGAGCCACAGATGGAAGGCAGAAGGTCGCTGATTCTGGAAAATGAATCTGGGAAATGATAGCCTGGGGTCAATAGGGCCAGGTACCAAGAGGGAGGCTGGTTGGGATTGTGGAGCTATGTGCTTTTCCTTCTCTGCACTTCCCTCAAGAGAACAAGGGCTTTCCCCATCACCTTAGCAGAGCATCAGTCCCCCCGTGTTGAACCAGCTGGCACTCTGGCAGCCCCTAAAGCACTCTCCTCCCCAGCTCCCACCTAAGCAAGGTGGGGATGATTTTAAGGCAGGCAGCTGTAGAAAAAGAGTAGGGCTCCGGGAGCTCTCCAGAGCTCCTCTGTCACCTGGCACAGAGGGTGGGTCACTCAGGGGAGGTCCAGCCCACTATAAACATGGAAGCCACGCACTCCGATGTCATTCCCCAGGCTCATCCTCACCACGACCTGCACCTGGGCCTTTGCTTCTTCTTTCAGGGATGTCGGACCAGCCAAGGCAGCTGGTGTTCCCACATGCATGTGGGCTCAGGAAGACATGAAATGGTCGGGGTCAGCCCAATAACTGAGCCACACACACTAGATGAGACAGTAGGGGAGTTCAGGCAGGCATGAATTAAAGGAAGCTTAATAAATATTCTCAGACAGATCAGGAAAAACAAAACAAGAACACACAGCTACAAACAGACTTTCATTGTTGGAATAAAGAGCATAATCGAGGGACTGAATAGTAGGGTGGATTCAGTGGAAGTACAAATCAGGAAGACCTCAAGAAGATGAAGAGATGGGAGATGGAAAGTAATATTTAAGAACATGGCTCCCTATAACAGGAGTCCCAGAAAGAGGAAAACAATAAACAGGGGGTGAAACACACACACAATTTCAGAATGTAAGGTCTTGTAGATATAATAATAGTAGCAGAGATGTCAATAAATCTTAAAAAAAAAAAACACTGACCAAGGAGACAAAAATTACCAATAATTTGGAATATTTGAGAAGCATTATAACAGTTACTTAATGTTATATTGTCCAATACAGTAGCCGATAGCTACATAACTCTTGAGCACTCGAAATGTGGCTAATGCAAGAAAATTTTAAGATTTTATTTAATTTTAATTCATTTAAATTTTAAAACTTAATACTTAATTCTGGTATTGAAAAACTTTTAAATATGTTTAGAACAATCTACTCTTTCAATTGTAAATTGAAATCTAAATACAGATCAAGTGTATCCAATTTTAGTATTTGTATTGAAATGCACTGTAAGAGTTAAATCCACCCTAGGTTTCTAACAGTCAATACAGACAAATAATGTACAGCATCTTGTTAATATTTTTATATTGATTATATGTTCAAATTATTATTTTGTATATATTGTCTTAAATAATATTATTAAAATTAATTTTACCTGTGTATTTTCACTTTTTAATATGGCCGCTAGAAAATATAAAATTATATACGTGACTGGCATTATATTTCTTTTGGACAACACTGATCTAATAGATGTACATAGGACTTACACTCACAGAGAATATTCATTTTAATTCCCATGGAACAAAGAAAACTTCCATAAATGCCAAATAATCAATACATACACAATGTGTTGATTATAATGGAATAAAGTTTAAAAATCGGTAATGGCAATAATACCACTTTGAACATCACTTGGACACATAAAACATTATAATGTATAGTATATAACCATTGGAGTTTAGAGGAAACTTAAAGGATATTACAAAATACTTGGAACTGAACAAGAATAAAAGCGTCAAATGTCAAACTTTATGATCCGTAACTCTCAAGTTGCACTTAAAGTTTTACATAATTTTGAATACACTAATAGTAAACAAGATATCAAAAAACCAAATACCTAAGGACATAACTAAACATATTAGAAAAAAAAAGAAAAATGGCAGAATAAAACCAAAGCAAAGAAAAAGATATAAAGTGAGTTTAAAAAAATCAATGAAATTGCCAAAAATCCCCATTAAAAGTGATTCTTTGAAAAATGAGATGGCAAAGGTCGTTATGAAACTTTATACGCCAATGCATTTAGACCCAGATGGACAACGGCTTAGGAAAAATAGCAGCCTTGGACTAGAGGAATCAAAGGAAAGGTGCCAAAGTGGAATAACAAATAGCACTCTCTCTCCCAACTGAAGTTTCTAGACAGGTTCCAAACCCAAACTAGGAAACGCGTTCCAGGAGGTTCCTAAGTGAGCGAGTGATTTGGGAGCCAGAACACACATTGGGAATCCAGGGGAGAGCAGTGAAATAAAATAAAACAAGAAGGGCCTTGGGTGAGCCCACTGCACCATGGCCTGAGTAGTAGTATTATTTCAATTATTTGCACCTGAGGAGACATACAGTCGCTTTCAATGTCAAGAATTTGCAGGTGAACCTCTCAGACCTTTGCTTTTCTCTTTTATGGGTTTCTTTTCCCTGGGACACATTGTCAGCCCTTAGCTGCTCACTAAAGCCTCCTGATTTGAGATCTACATGACAAATGCCTGATGCTAAGCAGAGATGGTGAGGCCCAGAGCCAGGAAGTCGAATTAATTTCCTAATTCTAAAGGTAGGGGTGTGCGTGTGCATGCATGAGAGAGAAAGAGAGAGAGAGAGAGAGAGAGAGTGCGAGAAACAAGAGGGGGAGAGAGAGATCAATTTTCTTGGTCTCTTTGCTTCTGTAGATGTAGTTAACAAGTCCACTTTTAGGGCTTAATCTGCTGGGCACACTTTCTTGATTTTAGAGCTAGCAATGATCTAATTGAGGCAGAGGGGATTGCCTGAAGTAAATACAGCACTGGTTCAGTTAGGTGGGGATAGATCTGCACTACCTTTAAAAGAAGATTAAGACATCTGAGCTGTTGGAAATACTAAACCGATTGGGCATCACCCTTTCCTAACATACCCAGATAGTGGCTGCACCCCCTGCTTTGCTTTGGGCCTGTAGGCAGAGCCAAGGGGCCTGTCCCCTCTGCCTGACCCGCAGCTACTCTCCCTTTGTCTGCGAACAACCGAGAGAGGAGCGAGAGGAGCGGGTTGGAGCCCAGAGCAGCAGAGACCCAGCCTAGCAGCTGACTGGGCCAGGTGCGTTTCCATTGGCTGCAGAGGCCAGGTTGAGCTCTATTTTCTTCTGTACATAAAGATAAGAAGCCAAGGGCCCCCTTCCGAAAGCAAACACGTTTAATTGGAACCACCGCCTCCCCATGATTCACCGGATGGAATTTACAATGGTGTTTACCCTTTTCCACAAAAGTAGCAAATGAATCAATCCCAATAGGAAATATAAATCTAGGAAATATAAATCCCCAGCAGATGCAATTTGAACCACACAGGAAAGGACTCACTGAGAAAGAAGGCCACTGTAACCCTAGAGTATTTTTGCCCAGAAGTAAGAGTCAAGAGTGGTCCAGGTTAGTTGAGGAGAAGCAACTTCAGATATGAGCTTAAAACAAGTCTTTGCACGAGCCACCTTTTGCTTGGCCCCTCTTAGCAGTGGGAATTCAGACAAAACTTCAGGAATGCTTTGCTGGGCAGCTGTGGTGCATTCAAAGCAGAGAAACTGCCTAATCTTTGCAAAACCAACAAAGATAAGCAATAGCTTTAGCTGGGCTGAAATTAGCCAATGCACTGCTACACAATGCCCTGGTGACCATTATTGAGGCTCTGACCGCCGCACGGCACTGCGCAAGCACGCTGGCAATGTTTAACAAACCATCTGTCTTGTACCTGCTCCCACTCAACAGGGGCCTTTGTTTGAACCCTGGCCCCATCCAGCATGTCAGCTATCTACTCCCCAACAAGAGAAGCCCCCTCATCCCATTGTACAATTTTCATAACTCTTTTGATTGCAGTTTGTCCTACACAATGACTTCTGCCAGAGAACATTTTGGAAAGGGAGATAGGCATTCTGAATCTGTCCACTGATTAGTTTCTAGAGCACCATGTGTGTAGAAACCTTACTTGCTTATTTGATTTCCCCCTCATTTGTCTTCTTTTAAGAGAATTTCAATATTCATTCAAATGTTGATTTTATTTTTTCCTCGGTTAGTTGTGTTTAAGTTAGAAACCTCTCTCTCCTGCTCTTTTCCTCTCAGATATATGTTTTATACTATGGTAAGATACTTTCTGCATATGTCGGGTGGAGTGGCTCACAACTGTAATCTTAGCACTTTGGGAGGCTGAGGCGGGAGGATCACTTGAGCCCAGGAGTTTGACACCAGTCTGGGCAACATAGGGAGACCCCAGACTCTACAAAATATATACACGTGTGTATGTACACACATATACACACATACACATACACACACATATATTCTGCCTAAATCACACAGTATCTGGAATTTACTGATTATATTACATAGGCGTTAGATGAAACCATTTGAACTTAATGTTTTCATAGATTTATAACAAATATTGACTGTTCATTTCACATGGTCCAATATATGTATTTCCTTGTAAAACGACCCACTATTTTAGAGTAGATGTTTGAGAAGATAACTGAGCCAATACATGGTTTTTATTTTTTAAAAAAAGTCTCCTTTGAGAATTTATTTATTTATTTATTTATTTATTTATTTATTTATTTTGAAATGGAGTCTCGCTCTGTCGCCCAGGCTGGAGTGCAGTGGCATGATCTCAGCTCACTGCAAGCTCTGCCTCCTGGGCTCATGCCATTCTCCTGCCTCAGCCTCCCGAGTAGCTGGGACTACAGGTGTCCGCCACCATGCCCAGCCAATTTTTTTGTATTTTTAGTAGAGACGGGGTTTCACCGTGTTAGCCAGGATGGTCTCTATCTCCTGACCTCGTGATCCACCCGCCTTGGCCTCCCAAAGTGCTGGGATTACAGGCGTGAGCCACTGCACCCGGCTGAGAATTTATTATTTCTCTTTTTCTTCACCTTGCCTGGCTCTCAGCGATTCTCCCTCATGCTCAGGGGTAAAATGTCCCCATATTCTTTTTCTATATGTCACCATGCTAACATAATTTCAATTACCTCAGATACACCTTGGCAACGGTGACCACAAGAATCCACTCAGCCTTGGAAGCTGTCCTTGAAACTCAACCTGAAATCCCTGCCTAGCAGACAGGAGACCTCAGGCTGGACGCCACCCCACTGTGTTATCTCGGCCTCCCCGGGACTCTTAGGATACGACTTTCTTAATCTTTCCAAGGGGCTAAGCTTAACCAGAAGGAAATACTGCACTAGATGTGTGGAATACTTCAAGATCTGTGGAATATGAAGCTGAAACCAGCTCTGTGTTTAGAAATGGTTGCCATGCATGTGTCTATTTCCCCAAACTAGCACCAGAGCCTTGGTTTGAGGGTCTGTATTTGATCCTTTACTCTTTAGAAAAGAGAGACCTTGTTGAAGGAATGTTCTCTTTCCAGAGGAAATTTGGGAAACAAAACGGTCACCTTAAAAATAGCAGCACAATAAATTTTGTCCTTAAATTTAAATTTTCCTTC